AAACGTGTAATAGAGCATGGCAAATGACACAAATGGCGTGGGCGCTGCAGCATTGGCGGTCCTCTGAAGTCTTTGACTCCTCAGGTCACTCCCCAGCACCCGATCGTCGATGCCAAAGAGAGGGAAGTTGGATGTACTTCATTTTAGACTGCGGCCGAGCCGACTCTTTTATCCATTATTATTGACATTGATTTGTTTACAAGAACGTACGACGGAAGCTCTGGCCGCATTATGGCATGGCTGACGGAAGCCGGCAGTTCGAGGGGTCGAGGAACCGAAGGTTATTGATTGGGGGTCATCCTTGGTCCAGACACGAGTGGCGTTGATGATGCTGTCTTTGGACATAAGCAGCAGGGGCGTCTTGTGCGTGCGTGTGCACAGTCCCTCTTCGGATTAAAAGTGTCGGCATATGTGGTAGCCTGTATGCGTACTTTAGATTGACAGTAAAAGGGTCTGCTGTCAGGCGATGCAACTCTGACCCTCGGACGTCGTGCTTCTTGGGACGGAGGACCGGGAGGCTAAGCGACAGCGGGGATCGACAAAATTGTCAATGTATTTTGAGGAAAAGAAAGGAGATAAGGCGAGGACAAGACATTCCGACACGAGAGGCCGCAAGGTAAGTCGTCGTTGAAAGCGTCTCAAGCCTAAGCCGGTCTCTGGAAAGTTAGCAAGGTAATTGAGGGCACGCGTGCACTTGGCACAAGTGAAAGGAGGGAGGGAAGGCAGGCAGGCTGAACTCTGGTGGAAATTTCGATGCCATTTACTCGAGACGTGTGCTACATTGGGTAGCGTTGGGTAGGGACTAACAAGAGGCGTTGCATAGGAGGCAGTGGCGGCTTGGAAATGAACCAAGTTCAAAGTTCCAACACAACACAACACACAATATCAGAGAAGGAGGATCAGTGATGGCCCTAAGATCTTGACAGCTCTGGCGCTGAGCGGCTGACGGCATAAGACGCGACGATACGAACAACTGTGAGTGACGAGGCGGGTGACGGGAGGTGGGATCAGCGCAGCCAGGAAATTGCAGGCTTCATGTTGCAGAGGTTCCTATTTGACGGCGAAGCCCAGAAGTAGAAGACAGAAAAGCAGTCGGACGACCAAAGACGGGTTAGTGTGTGAAATTGCTTCCTTCCCCTGGACGTTCTCCTGGGTGTGGTGTGCAGGTGCGTCGTCCTCCTTGGTACCCCTGGCAGAAGCTCCCATGCCTAGCGTTCTTTCCTGCCCAAAGGGCCTACCCCCACTTCTCGCCGACCAAAGAGCGTTAGCAGCGATTGTGGGAGCTTCCACGAGGCCAACCCGAGGTGAGGGTATCCCCCAGTCGTGCCTTGCCCGGATGTCGTTACATCCTTCCTGTTGGGGCGCGGGAAACCAGGGGTCACCGTCGAAGCAATTTGTGTCGTCGTAGGCGAGAAACCTTCCTACAGGTACACTACGTCGTACGGGGTCCCCAGCTAGCTACCAACATTGGCCGCTTGCCTGCCTGCTTCAAGATGACGGGCACTAGTGTGGCCAATCTGGGTTGATCCCATCTGTCGTCGTTTCAATGGGGTGATTTGTTTCCAAGTCAAAGCAAGGAAGGGTGAAGGCGTCTCTTGTTAATTCTCACTCTCGCAACCGCAGCAGAGTTCCGTGGGTGCTGGATTCTTCCGCCAACCTCGCAAGCGTCCGGTAATTCCTCTTAGGCTCTACGGTACGTACCTTGCCGCACAAGGGTGGAGAATCGACCAAAGAGGTGCCGTGGTGCCTTACTATATTAGGAGTGTACCTACCTACAGTAAGGCAGGTACGTATCCCTCCCATTTGTCAACTCCGGTCATCAGATGGGAAGTACGAAGGTGCCTTCTTTGGGGTGGCCAGACCGTCGAGTACCTACCCCCCTATCCGTATCTTCAGGTACACAGTAGTTTGATGATAAAAACGCAGGAAAGGGAAAGAATCATCCACGTGCTGACGCACCGAGTAACGGCCGACAGCTGATCGACTTCGACGTTGCTCAATTGACCCAATCATGGCTGGCGGCGTTAACGTTTTGTTCGTTGGTCGAGGACCCCTTTTTCCCGAGCTGGTTTCTTTTGTTTCCCCGAGGATCGTCTTTACATGACTCCGACCAAGTGCTGCCGGTACCTCGCCTCATGGATTTCCCGTCCTTTCTGTAACGGACAGACGGAACTGGTGGGCAGCTAGCGCAGCGCAGCCGCAGGTCCAATTGCCGCTGCAAGCTTTTTCCTTTCCTTCTCTCCCACTTTCCATCCTACCTTACTCGCTGCAATCTTCGGTTTCCTCTGCCAGACCTGACCTCCTTTCCTCTGGGCTCGAGGCTGGTGGCACCTGTGGTGCATGGAACAGCGAGTGGCATGAGATCTGGGAGAACAGTATACGCCACGTACCCAAGCGCTCGTCGTTTCTAATAGACTTCACATGAGTAAGCTGCGCAATGGGTCTCATTTTTCTTCTTATTAAAGGTGCTCCAGTCCAGGAGCGGGTTGCTGCCAGTCGTGATTTTGCGACAGGCGGACCGGCGCCCATCCTCCACAATGGTAGTAGAAGGAAGAAGAACAAAAGTCTTACAAAGTTAGAACACGCGCGTGTCCGACAGTCCGTCTTACCATGGTGGCGTGGCTGAACCGTTGGCGGCTGGACCGTTGGCGGCGTCGTGTGCGTACCGGGGCCTGGCTAATTTATTCCCATGTAGTCTTGTGCCTGGCTGGCCCTGTGTGGCCTTTCTTTCCGTCTCTTCCATCTGGACTTTTGGGTCGCTTCCAATCACAGCCAGGATCGCTCCATTTCCCACCCCAATTTAGCTAATCTCAGAGACCAGGGGCCGCACGTTGAGGTGTGGTTCATGTCCATGATCCCATCACAGTCGCATCCCGCAGCTTCCAGTCCGTTCATCCGTTGCGAAGCTCCAAAAAAGAAAGCACGCACGTAGGATTGGAAGATTGCGCATCTCACAACAACACGACGGCGCGGCGCAGAGTACGGATGCAGCAGACATCGCCTGTACCTCCTGCACTCACTCACTCACTCACTCACTCACTCACACCTGCACATGCTTGTACTTTGCGTCGGTTGATTTGCCTTTGCTGGTCCATGTCGTTGCATCCACGCTTCTCTGTCCAAGCTAATGTGGAGTGCCAGGTAGGATCCGGATGTACACAACCTGCATGGGGTCTTTTCTCTCTTGTGCTCTCCTCGCTCTCTCTCTGTTTCATAGCTTCCTGTCGTCACTGCATCCGCTACTGCCATGTTCCCATTTCCGCTCTGATACGTTCTCCTCCTCTTGGCCAACCCCCCGGCCTCTACCCTACCTACCTTAGTGCTGTCCACCCCATGCTTATCGACCCTGGCCTGTCCCAATATTTCCATCTCATCTCAGCCTGCCCGTAGTCCCATGCTCGCACTACCCGAATCGTCTACACTAACGGCCTCGCGCCTGGGTCTTGACTCTCCATTCTCGCGCCTCGCCCTCTGTTTCTCTCTCTCAGCCTCTTCTCTCCTTCTTCTCCTCCACCTCCGTTTCCCCAGAGGCGCTGCCATTGTTACGCCAATTGGCCTCGGATGTAGCTGCTCCATCGTCCGCCTTGCTGAGATACATGTCCTACCGCTGCACGACTGTTCTCCTGCGCATCCATCCATTTTGACTTGCCACTTTGCTGTTGGCAGTCGTACATTACCCTTTCCTTTACTTTACTACCTGATCTCTACTACCCTCACTTGGTTCCTTTTGTCCTGTCATTGTCTTGAACCCGCCGGCGCGTCATTGCTTTTCTCACCTTGACCTTTTTCCCAAACCTACCGACAAACTATCGACCGTCCGATCCGTTCTACTCAGTAAGCCCCCTCCGAATGTCTTAGACGAACTTGGGTGTTCCGGCCGATCGCCACGGGAGAAGCAGCTCCAGAAGAAAGGAAGGAGCGAGGTCCGGGAGAAGAAGCTGACCACAAACCTCCACACCAGAACCGCGCGAAACAAGCCTTGACACGCCTCTTCTCGCTCGACAAACGTTTCTTCTCCGACGTCTCGTCATCTTTGCTCCTATAAGCGGTACATCGCCATTGCCTTGTGCACACGTCAATCCTTTCAGTCCCTTTTCCTGGTTTTTTTTTCGACTCGAATCTTTTGCTGCTACACAATTAAGCCGGTGTTGCATCCCATCTCGGTTTCTCAAACTCAATTTTCGAATGGCATGTCGACATAAAATCGCTCTCCACCTACTGTGACTCTGGCATCATCCTGTCATCCGTTCTCACGACTGCCGGTCCTTCGATTCCTCCCCTCCTCTCGTTTGCGACATTGAGTCCGGGCTTAGAGAGCCAGCCAGTTTCAAATCTGTGTTCAACAGCTATATTTCCCCGTTCTTAAGGTGGGCAGCCTTCCCAAGCCGTTCCCGAATATTCCTCCCCAGCTCATATACACCCTTTTCCCCTAGATGGGTTCTGTGGACTTCATGCTAAGCAGTCGCGACCATTCAGAAACGGCTACTTGGTCGAATCGGACATTGTTTCATTTTTCAACTTTTCGGGCCATCGGCCATCACGTATCATCTATCACCATCTTGACAGGACTTGCTGCGCCCGCAACGCAACAGCAACAGCATTATTACGTCGTAAGTTTGACCAAGCTTATCTCATGCATCTTCCTTGACACAGTCTTTCGGCCTCTCCCACCAATGTGCCTCTCCCGTAGCGCTGAACACTAACCAAAGCCAGTGGGGGTTGGACAGCGTCAATGCACCAGTGATTGTGCGGTCGGACTGATCCTCTGGCGCCTGTCATTTCCACCGATTTCAGGGATCCCCCGGGGCGCAGCCGTGTGCTTTGATCCCCTCCTTTCGACCCCCCCGAAACGATTGGCGATCCAAGCACATTTTATTTGTTGTAAGCGGATCATCCACAATCTGGATGCTTACACCTCCTTCCTGAAGGGGTTCAATTGAGGACCACCGCGCCCTCGACAACTCATTGTGGAATTTTCCTTATCCCCGTCGTCAGTCAACATGGCTGTATGGGAGACCGAGGACGAGTCTAAGGGCGATGCCGCTTTCACGGCATTGCCCACATCCCGGGATACACCTTACAGAACACCATCACGAAGCTCGAGAAAGTCCCGACGTTCAGTTACCCCTCCGAATGGGAAGAAGAGCCCGTCGCCTCCTCCTGTCCCGCAGGACAAGAGTTCCAAACGATCCTCCCGCAATATGACCAACGACGACGGCATCAGTGTCCTCGACCCGCGTCGTTTCACTCCAACTCTGCACGCTAACCTCGTTGCCGAGATTCTGAACCTAAGGCGAGATCAAGAAGAGAAAGCAAAGCTCATCGAAAACCTCGAGGTGTCTTTGCATGCCTCGCGCCAGGAGCAGGAATCACTGCAAGAGTCGGTAGCTACCATCACCAAGGAAGGCCGTTCGCTGCAACGCCAACTGTCGCTACTCGAGGGCGGTACCTCTTCGGCACTTAGTGAACTATCCCGCGAGAGGGATGAGGCCGTCGACTCCATTACGGAAACCAAGAAGAGGCTTGAGGCCGCCCAAAGGAAGATCAGAAGCCAGGAAGAAGACTCGCAAAGGGTTCACGACCTATGGGCCCAAGACAAGGACTCTTGGGAAGAAGAGAAGCGCAAGTATGAACGCAGGGTCCACGTTGCCGAGAGCCGCTTGAAGGTGGTTCTGGACGAAGTCGCTGCCTACCAGGCTGCCCAGGTCAATGGCAATGGCCATGACAGTGAGACGGAAGACCAAAAGGAGAACGACGCAGCGAGCGTTCGAACCATGAGCATGACCAACAGCATCCGCTTTTCCATGCAGCAAAGTCCTGGCAAGGTCTTCAATGGCAACTCCCTAGCCGACGAACTCAACCTCGACGGCGACGACGACTGGCAAACCGATGATGGCGGACGTGAGAGCGCCATGTCGAACTACCGCCACACGCGAACATTTAGTCGCGACAGCGTGCTGTCGAGAATGCACCGCAGAAACCAAAGTATTGAAAGCCCTCAGCGTCCCGGAAGTGTGACTCGCGGCAAACTCTGGATGAATCAGCCAGTTTTGGAGGCCCTGGAAGACGGGATCCAAGAAGACGATGAGGATTTGATGCCTCCCCCTCCGCCGCCGGCACCGAAGGTCAGCTACACAGACACGGGCATCCAGTACTCGCCTCCTCCATCGCCGAAGCCGGAACCAGTCAAGACAGCAACTCCCGAACCTACCGTCAAGGTAGAGAAACTCCCCGAGGTCGAAGCCACTCCTAGAGGTGAATGGGAAGTAGAGGCCAACCAACGGCGCAAGCGAGTCCACCTCAACCGACCATTGTCTATCGAGCCGCGCCCCTTCAACCCCATGGTCTCAGCCGGCTCGCAGACGGTCGAAGAACCTCTGAGCCCTCCCAAGACACCCAAATCGCCGTACAGGTCCTTGACGCCGCCTCTTCCTGAAACCCCACCTCGCATTATGGTGTCTATCTCGACACAGACGGACAAGCCCGAGGACAAGCCTCAGACGCCGCCTGTATTACGACCGGTTCAGGAACTGGCCATTCCAAGCATCAGCATTATCCCACCGACCAGTCGTCCAACTACACCACGGGAGCCCCGACTTCCACAGTACTTCAAAGACTTTGGCTGCCAGGCATCAATCATTTCCTCGGCTGAGGTGCGGTCTACGGCTGTCCAGACGGAAGAAATTCTCTCTGACAAGCGATTGGCAAATCTTCCTGTACACTTGCGACCTTCAGCAATCACGTCGAGACCTTCGTCACCCGTCATTGCCACCGCTGTTACAACCGATGACCCTCGGCACTTTACTCCTGTCCCCGGACACCTGCCGCCGAGGAACCCCAAGAGACTCACTAGCAAGCGGAGTCTCACCGACATGCCCTCGTCTCCACCAACTTCCTCAGGTTTTGGAGAGCAAACCCGTGACGCATACCCCGGTAACAACGATGACGGGCCATTGTCAGACAGCGCGCCCATGCGACGGCCGCATCGCATCAGCAGTCTCTTCGCTGGGTTCCAGGACGCTCAAAGCTCTGATGAGCAGGACGAGTTTGATGCTGATGTGAGCGACTCTGAGTACCGAACCGCCCTCTCCGCTCCCGGGATGAGGATGACAGACTCTCGAGCGTCCAACCGCACATCTGTTAGCACTTTTGTGGCGTCACCGGAACAGACCAAGAAGTCTGTACCTAGCAGGATTTCAGTGCGTCCCATGGGAACCGAAAGCTACAGCTACAACCTGGATAACAAGGAGACGGCTGGTAAGAAGCAGCCAGCGAAGCCTACAGCCAGGAGTTACGAGAAGTCTACTGCCGGTCCGTCAGGCAAGCAAAATGCCATGCGAAAAGCAGCCATCATACAGAGCGGCATTGCCAGCCATCAGGGCCGCCCCAGGAGCCCCAGCCTCCCGGAACCCCACGACCCTCCCTTTCCTATCCCGACTCGGGCGAGTTCTCGGCGACCGCCATTCAGTGTCAGCGCCCCGAGTGATGGCCAGCGGAGCCCAACGAAGATGGACGCACCATGGCACCGCCGAGGCGTCGGCCGTAGCCACTATCGTGCCGGCAGTGTCCACCGTGCTAATAGCATTCGCAAGGTCCGATCGGCGGCCGCCCTTCCTAGGAACCAGAGGAACCGTAGACAAGGCAGTAGATCTCCACCGCCCTTCTCGGAAACGACCGAAGCGCCGGAGAGTCCAAGCCTCCCGCCTCTGCCCTACAATGACATTACTAGCCCTCGGCACGACACGAGCTCCCACTACAGGTCACACAAGTCAAGGTTGTCGACCACAACAGCTCAGACCGCTACCACGGACGTCAACTCTGTCGGCGGGGCTTCCAATGGCGCCTCGCAGGCCACGGGCGTTGTAGACGCCATTGCGCAGACCATGGTTGGCGAATGGATGTTCAAGTACGTCAGAAGACGCAAGTCTTTCGGAGTGCCTGATAGCGGCAAGGACGACTCCAGCAATGACCGCCACAAGCGATGGGTTTGGCTGGCTCCCTATGAGAGGGCCATCCTCTGGAGCAGCAAGCAACCTTCCTCTGGCAGTGCCTTGATGGGCAAGTCTGGCCGGAAACGTAAGTGACAATTCCCCAACCTGCATGGGAAGTCGGCTAACAATGAGTAGTCACAATCCAGTCCGTACTTGATGTCAAGGACGACAATCCCGCCCCTAAAAACCAGGGTGCTGTGTTCAACCGTTCGATCCTTATCTTGACTCCACAAAGAGCGCTGAAGTTCACTGCCACGTCTTCCGAGCGACACTACGTATGGCTCACAGCGCTTTCGTTCCTGGCCCACTCAACCCAAGCTATTCCAGAAATTGTCACTGCTCCTCAACCTGTGAAAGAAACAACGGTACCGGATTTTGAACCGCCACTACCAACCAGGCGACCTGGCATTCGTGATTCCATTCGACTGACAAAGAGCAAGGCTCCCTTGATTAGAAGCGCCGGACCTCCAAGTATTCCAAGTGTTCCTAGCATACCCTCGTCTAGGACAGGCGACGCGTCCGGTTACAGACAGGCGGATGCATTCGCACCTTTGCCAGGCAGCAATCATCAGCGCGAGCAATCCGGAGACGCGGCCGAACCACCTTTCATCCCCCGATTCACTGAACGGTCCAGTCAGGCTATGGTCCATGGACGGAAGCGAAGCAACACCGGAGGCCATGTCCCACCACCGCTCTCCTTCCGCGGCTTTTCTGGGCCGGGCAGTGTCGGACATCACAGCTACACCAACAGCAATGCTGGCAATAGTGTCGGCACAGCAGGATCGTCCGACATCTACCAGTCTCAACCGTCACAAGGTTCGAGCAGCAGACAGAGTTGGGGTATTAGCACGGCTGGCTCCCAGCGTACCTCAGAAGCCTCCTCACGGCCTGGTGGTAACTTCTTTGACGCCATCGGGACGGTGCGAATGGAGGCTTTCATCAGCCCCTTGGCGTATTCAGGCTTTGATAGAGACCCTGATGAGCACGAGGAATACCGGTATCGAGCCCGAAGGCGGAGCAAGGAGCTTCGGCGTCGGCAAAGCCGCAGCCGCCACCGCGACAGCTACAGCTCTCGTGGTACGCGTGGCACAGACGGCTACTATGGGGGTAGCCGAGTGGCTGGAGAAGACGACTACTTCCGAGATGACCCGTTTAAGGGCTTCTAGTTGCTAAGGCGTTCAGTCACTTACATCGTTTCCTGGTGCGAAAGGTTGGACTGGAGCGCGCGGGATATTGCATTCATCTGATACCCAATTGCGTGTTATTTCTCGTATGTAAAAGTAAGGCGTGGGGGTGGTTTAATGGCACCAAACCCCAGAGCCACCTCGGTGCTTGGAGTTGGAGAGATATGGGAAGGCAGAAGGTTGCTGGTATGTCTAGAAGACATTTCACGTCTGGTTCGGCCACCATGCCGCAGACCGCGAGGCATCATGGAAAAGATGTCAGGATGTCGGAATTATTGATATAGTTCAGAAGGATTGATATGCCTTCGTTAAAGTAGATAGGTCCCTAAGGACAGGTGTTTTATCAATCAAATACTGTTAAAGATAATCCTTTATTACTTGTCATATGTGATGCTGTGGCAATGACTGGATCTGGTGATAAATGAAATGTACGGTTACAGAAAGGCAGAGATTCAATATCGTGAAGAGCTCGGGGATAGAAGCTCAAATGAAAAAGACTCGACCCTCACAGAATGGTAAACTTGGAATACCGTTTAAATTTGAGCCAATTGTAGTACCATCGTCGAAAGCGCAACCACGAACCGCCCTCATATGAGCGGCCCCAACACACACACCCACATGCAAACTGCAAACGTACAATACGACTTTGTTCGCGTTCTCATCTCATTGCACTTCGCACTGCTGAAGCTCGTCCAAGTCTATTCACCTCCCGGCCGCAGATTTGCCCTGCGCCCTCGTCCTCTTCCGCGGCTTGGGCTCGTCCTTGTCAGCGTCCTCGTCGGGGGCAGGGCGCTTCCGTTGGGACCTGGTCACGGGTCCGGTCTTGGCGTCTCTGTTGTCTTCTCCTCCCCCACCGTCACCGTCGCCATCCCCGTCGTCATTGTCGTCTTCCCCGTCATCATTGCTCTTGTCTGGCTTCTTGCCAGACTTGGGTGCCGCCTTGGCCCCCTTGGCGGTGGCCAGGGACACGGGAGCCTTCTTTGCCGTGGCGGCCCTCTTGGCCGGGTTCCGGTCCGCGGGCCTCGCGCGCTTCGGTTTCGCTAGCGCTTCAGGAGGTCCGGCGGCGTCGCTTTCATCATCTCGGCCGCCGGCGGGGGCGGGAGGGGGGGGTTAGAAGAGGCTTTGGCTGCTGCCTTCTTTGCGGTAGGTTTCTTTGGGGCGAGTTTCGGGGGTTCGGGCTCGTGATCAAACTCTGGCTCAGGCTCAGGATCGTGATTGGGGTCAACGGGGTGCTCGTCGTCAGCGTTGTTCTGACGACCGCCTCCCTTTGGGTCACTTGGCTCGTTTGTACCCGCGCGTGCCACTTTTCCCCCTGCCTCTCGCGTCCCAATGGGGTCATTTCCACCCAAGGACCCTCGACCGCTCTTCTCCCTCCTTTCTCCCCCGTCACAGATCCGGAGGCGGACGCCGGGGTATCTCGTCACGTAAACAGGCACAGTATTCCCGGAAAACTCGATCAGCTTCTCCACAACCACCGCGGCCATGAGTTGCGGAAAATTCGCAAATACACCCTCTTCCGCGACGCCGGGAGCCGGGACGTTCTCGGCGAGGGGGATTTCTGCCACGGCCTCCCGGAGCTTCCTGGCGGGCTTGGCATGGCGAGACCAGGGCGGTGCAAGGGCTGCCAGGCGGGCGCGGAGTTCTTTGGGGGTCTTGATGATATCGGCCTATCACCAGTTCAGTCGGACATGCGGAAACGTTGAGATGAACTAGAGTGGTGGCTTACTTACATCCCGGAGCAATCCGATAGTGGATATCTCCCGTGCTATGATTGCCTCTTGGATCTTGACGGCCTCGAGGCTGGCGCCGTCCAACTCGACTGGCTGGTCGACAAACTCGAGGAGCTCGTTCCAGGCCATGCACGCGCGCTGCAGGGCATAGTGAAGGCGCCAGCGTTGGAGCTCGTTGAGGCCCTTGTCCTCGTCGGTGTCTTTGGCCGCGATGTCTTTGGCGTGGTTCCAGAGGGACTGGGCCACGCCGAGGAGCTCTTTGGGAATCTAAGAGAGATTCGGGATTAGATCTCGGATACTTAAAGAAGCATGCGCGTGAATGATGAAGAAGGAGGTAAAAGGGGTAAGGGCTGTAGTGGCTGAAGGGACGTTTACTTACAGCCCTACACTCCTTTCCCTCTTCTTTGCAGACGACGCAGAGCTCCCCAATTTCGCTCGAACAGCATTGCAGGAAAATGTGGCGATGGAGAGAGCCCACGCACACCGTGCATGGTCGGTCGCCCCTCTGTAGACTCTTGAAGCCTTCTTGGTGAACAAACGTCTTCCTGAGTTCCTCCTGGATGTACAGGAGGACCGACATCCTAGCGGTCGATTGAGTTGCATTCGCTGGAGGCTTTGGGGATTCGGCGACGGAGGAGAACAATGGCAAGTCGATGAAGGTTTAATCTGATATCAATGACAAGATTAGGCATTACCAGAGATATGTGGATCTGATAGATGCTAAAAAACGAGGGCCAGACAGCATTATATCAATATGGTGTGGGTGGAAGACAATGAAACATGATGCCTGGAGTACTATCATAGAACCTGAATATAACCAGAAGGTAGATTAATATGGTAGTATGTCTCGTTAATTCAAGGTGAATCAGCGTTTTTCTATGGTTCTCTGTGCACTTCTGAGGATGCTCCAGTACCGTCGAGCTCCAAGGGTGAACAAAGAGAAGCACTTACACGACGCCTACAGCACCATCTTCAAGGTACGAGCATTAAAAATTGTTTATTGGAAGCCCAGGAAGATGTATGCTTTGGAATCATTACTAAAATTTAGGAAACACCTGTTCCCATAACTCAGTCATCTCGACGCAGGTTCCCGTGCTGATGCGCGCCGGTCTCCCGAAGGTTCGGTGCTCGGCGGAAGTCGAATTACGGAGCCATTCTCCGGGGGCGCACCGACCCCGCACTCCAGCGCAGCGCACCCCCACTAAGAAATTTCACCCCTCCACAAGCTTGAGCTACAGTGACGTGCCAACCTCCCCAGCCGAGAACCGCCACAACGACTCGCATTTCAGCTCTTGCAAATACCTCCGCTTACCTGCCGGGCCTTCTCACAACTTTACCTGCTCAGACTTTGTCGGCAGACACACCCTCTTCCCACGAGTCCTTTACTATACACCGAACCGGTCTGCTGCGCTCCGCCCGACACTCTCGATTACCCCTCCTTCACGTCGACACCTCTCTCTACCCGCACCGCACGAGAAGATCACTCATTCAACAAACACCGCCCCTAAATTTCAGACGGCAACCGTCACAATGGAGGCCGAAACGCTCGACCAAATGCAGGCGCGACACCGCAAGGAGCAGCGCGACCTCGTCGGACGAATCACCAGCAAAAAGAAGAACGCGACGAAGAAGACGCGCAAGGGCGTCAACGAGGAATGCGCTGAAATGGAGAGGCGGCTCAAAGAGCAACAAGAAGAGGAGCTCGCTGCCCTGATCGGCGGGGGTGCAGCCGTCGAAGCAGGCACCGAGGAGGAAGACGCGACGACAAATGACGATACCGCCGAGGTCGCCGAAAAGCTCAAGGAGACTTCCATCTCGGAGCCCGTACCGCCCACACCGCCGGCCGAAGACGAGCCCTCAACACAAGGCCAGGGACAAGGCAAGAAGCGCAACAGGCAAAAGGAACGGATGGCGCGGCGCGCGGCAGAGCTCGAGGCCGCTGCCATCAAGGCCGAGGAAGAGGCGCGGAACATGACGGACCACCGCGGCGCCGAGAAGACCTACATGCTCAAGGAGTTCAAGACGCACTCCCTTGCCGAGAAGGAGATCGCTCCCGACGGGCATTGTCTCTTTTCTGCGGTGGCGGACCAGCTCGCGCAAAAAGGCATCCCGCTAGCCCCGACGCTGCGCCCAACGTACAGCCGTACAAGATTGTGCGGAGGGCAGCGGCGGAATGGATGACGAGCCACCCGGACGACTTTGCGCCGTTCCTCGAGGATGACCTGGAGGCGTATGCACAGAAGATTCGGGACACGGCGGAGTGGGGCGGGCAGCTGGAGCTCGCGGCGCTGGCGAACGTGTACGGGGTCGAGATCCGAGTCGTGCAGGACGGGCGTACGGAAAGGATTGGGCCGAGCGCCGGAGACGATGTCGACGGCGCCGCCAGCGAGGAGCCCGGGACGGGGAAGGAGATTTGGCTGGCATATTATCGACATGGGTACGGGCTAGGCGAGCATTACAACTCTCTGCGGAAGACGGCATGATGTATGCTTCATTGGGGTATCGGGCGGTAGAAGAGTGGTTGGGAATTACGGAAGTAAATGGCGCGACTTCTATGTACAGCACACGCAAAGGGGCGTCCCGCATGGTATAGACACAAAAGCATCGGCGAGCATTTACAACAGGTATCAATGGCTCCAGACGTGGATCCAATCGCGCACCGTGCCGTCCTCATTCATGCCCGCCCTGTGCGTCCTAGCGGGCTTGACGAGCTCCAGGCGCTTGAGGCCGTCTTCGTTGAAGGACGGCACAACAACGACGTCGGTGTCGTCGCCCGCCTGCGTTGAGGAGGAGAACTCGACGGGATCACCGGGGCGGGAGAGCAGCGCCAGGTAGATCTCGGGGTTACACCCCACGGCGGTCCTGGCAAGGAGAGGGGCTTGCCGGAGGGGAACTCAAGGCAGATGAGGCGGCCGCGGGAGCTGAGGAGGGTGGCCATGCGGGTTGCCCAGAGGGGGCGGGCAGTTGGCGGGAGGGCGCAGAGGAACTGATTCACGCACGTCAGCTGAAATTCCTTTTCATGTTCGACGTTCCGTCGGTTTGGGTGCGAGGGCTCTCACAGTATAGTCAAATATGAGGTCGAAAACTTTCTCGCGACCCCATTCCTCAAGCCAAGAGTCGGCGAAGAAGTCGCCCGAGAGCCACGTCACCGATCCGGGCTCTGCGCCGTTAGGGTGGCGAATGGTGTAGACGTTGAGGTCGTCCTCCGCCGCTTCCGCCCCAGCCCCAAGCCTAGCCATGATGGCCTTCTGGTTCTCTTTCGCTTCGGCGATTGCAGTGGGTGAGAAATCCAGGGCGAGGACGTCATATCCTAGATTAGCTAAGAGAAGAGCGTCGTGACCTTTTCCACAGCCCGGTACCAGTGCCGTCGGCCTGTTGTTGTTGGACGGTTCTTGTCCTGCTGGAGCGAGAGGTGGCGGGACGAGATCGGGACGGGTCGTCAGGAGATCAAGGAGGGCGAGAGAGGGGCCGCCGCGATCCCAGGGCGTGTACTTTTCCTCCCAGAAACCAGACCACTTCTGGCCGTGGCCCGAGAGTGGTATGTCAGCAAACGCTGTTGAGAGCTTGTCCGGTTCGTCTGACATAGTGGCTGAGTCGTTTGTTGTGGTGACGCCAAATGTAGACTGTTATTGGGGACCGCAAGACTGGTGGAGGGGTAACAGCTATGGTGGGGTCAACTGTCACCAGATACGTTCGTGGTATTGTTAGATTTCTTGCAACTGTCGCTGTAGTACAACTGAAACAGTTGAATATCTCACTCAAAGGCTTGGATATAAAGCTGGGCTGAAAGTCAAGAAGTCATGACCTTAAAGTACCCGGAGCTAGTGATTGCTGACCACCTAAGGTAGTTCCCGAGGACCCCGCGCATAGACGGGAAAAAATGCCCCGCGTTCAAGGACGGCGATGTGATCCCTGTCGGTGTCAGCGAGACACCAAAGCGCCTTCCACCTTTGGACAGCTTTCGGGTTGGACAGCTACGGTAGGACGGCTACCCCAGACTGCATGGCAACACTCAATGTCGTCCTCCCATTTTAGCTATGCGCTTTGCCGTATGTCCGTCTCCTGGTGTGAACGACGTCCCGGACGCAAGATGCAGGTACCGCAGTACGTGCTCAGTGGCAGGCGCCACAACTGCTGGCAATTCTCCACGGGTAAGGCGAGGTACTCCTTAGGTACGTAGATGACGATGTGTCACCCCTCGCTCAGAGGAATCGGTCATCGAATGGGGGTCTTATCGTCCTGTCGTTGGGAAGTGGAGTCCAGTCGGCCAGGGCGTTCCCAGCAGGGGCATGAGTCGGTTGAGTCACTGGACTTCGCAATGACCGACCATGGGTGAGCTGAAGCTGACCGCCTCATACAATGGCAGTGTCCCAGCTGAAATGACATGGCAGAACTGGTCGGTGAGACCGAATGATTGTTGGAAGCGTGACACTGTTAACGAAAGAAGAAGAGAACCCTGCAAAAATTTTCGAGGCCGAGCAACTGTTTCTTGTCCTGCAGTGCGCCGACCACTGGTCGCGCATGAGAATTGGTGCGTGTTATTGGCCAGGTACATCCCCAGGATAAGATAAGGAAGCCTTGGAAGGCGCGACAGAGCGGTCAGGGCCCACCCCCCCGCACACAGATGAACCCCAGCCAGTCGCTCCGATTGTCGCTTTGAGTCAACCCAAAAAACAGCTCTGGTTTTACTTTTTCAAACTTCTCCCACTTCAATTGGAATTTTCACCTCGTTCAACTGCTTCTCGACTTTCAGGCCTGCTTAGCCATCCTATCTCTCGTCAAACCGACCTTCACTTTACACAAGTAGAAGAACTATTCACAATGGCTGCTCCTGGAAGCAAGGGCAAGGTCTGCCTCGCCGTAAGTTCTGCCCCTCCCCCGCGTTTTGCTGTGAAAGAATCATGCGAACTAACAGATTGTCGTTCAGTACTCGGGAGGTCTCGACACCAGCACCATTTTGATGTGGCTTCTCGAGGAAGGATACTCTGTTGTCTGCTACCTTGCGAACGTCGGACAGGAGGAAGACTGGGCTGCGGTCGAGAAGAAGGGTGAGTAACATCCACAAGCTCGCACTACGGCTGTCGGGTTTCTTCTGGTGCTAGATGCTAATGGGCAACCTGTGTAGCTCTTCAGATCGGTGCCGAGCGCATGGTCATTGATGATCTTAAGCGCGAGTTCGTCGAGTAAGTTTATACTCCTCTGACATGCGTTCTGCCGTCGCGGCATGCTAACAACAGCACAGGGAGCTCTGCTGGAAGGCTGTCCAATGCGTAAGACGACGCCACTCGACTTGTCTTTTGTCCCTCGCTTAATTAACACGAACACCAGAACGCCATTTACGAAGACGAGTACCTTCTCGGTTTGTTGGATCCATATCACCGTGAGAATGCACATAGGCTAAAGAAGTTGAAGGCACCAGCTTGGCGCGACCCATCATTGCTCGCGGCCAGATGAAGGTTTTTCGAGCCCTTTCCTAGTGCAGAGGAGTTCCGAACTGACTTGATTTGTAGGCTGCTGAGAAGTACGGCTGCGACTTCGTTTCCCACGGCTGCGTAGGTTGAGCCCCGCAACATTGAGAAGACTGTAGACTAATTTTTGGCATAATACAGACCGGAAAGGGGTAAGTGTCTTCCGTGAATAACACCGTTCTTTCGCTCACACAATCAATAGCAACGATCAAGTGCGCTTCGAAGTACGTCTCCCCCTTCAGGATTGAGTCTCACCCTGGTTACTGGTAGTTCTATGGCATTGTCTTTGCTCCCGCTGCGCTTCGCTCCGCTCTGAGTTCCCCAACGTGGTCTCTTAGACCATGAACAACGCAATAGCTGGCTCAACCCGGCATATTTGTCTACGAGCAGTATGGAAAGCGGACGACCAAAGAGCTGCCAGGATAAGGGGTGCTACTATACTTTTGAGGCAGCGAATCTAACGTGCCTAGCTCGCCTTCTACACGATCAACCCGTCCATCAAGGTCATTGCTCCTTGGCGTTGTAAGTACTTAAGTCAAAGCTTTGAAAAATGAACATTACTGACGAACTCTAGTGAGCTCCTTCTACAACCGTTTCCAGGTATTACCCCCGGGTTTGGATACGGAGATTCCATCTAAACAACTCTCTATAGGGCCGCAACGACCTCTTGGACTACGCTGCTGAGAAGGGCATTCCCGTCACTTCCACGAAGGCCAAGCCCTACTCCATGGATGACAACTTTGCCCACTGCTCCTACGAGGTGAGTCTGCCAATCACGTTCTGCCATGGCATAACTAACAAGGCATAGGCTGGTATGCTCGAGGACCCCAACGTCACTCCCCCTGAGGACATGTGGACCAAGACTGTCTCCCCCCTCAAGGCCCCGGATGCCCCCTTGGACATCACCATTCATTTCGAGAAGGGTCTCCCTGTCAAGGTCGTCACTCCTGAGCAGACTACCTCCAGCGACTCCGTCGAGATCTTCGGTCTCCTCAACAAGCTGGGTGGCGAGCATGGTGTTGGCCGATGCGACATCGTCGAGAACCGATTCGTAAGGGTGTCTTTCCTATCGATGTTGAACAACGAGCTGATTTTCGTCTTAGGTCGGACTGAAGTCGCGTGGATGCTACGATTCCCCTGCGATGACGATCCTTCGCCGGGCTCACATCAACCTTGAGGGCCTTGTTCTGGACGGCCGCGTCCGCTCTCTGCGCGACAACTTAAGCAAGCAATGGGCTGAGCTCCTGTACAATGGAATGTACTTTAGTCCTGAGCGAGCCTTCTTGCAGCGTAAGTAAGCCTGTTTGACAATGTAGGACCCTAGCTGACACTCAAAATAGCGAGTCTCGACTTTGCCCAAGAGCGTGTACGTTGAGAATTCCATATCAAGCTCACAGAAGCACGTTCCCCTCTAACTATCTCCTAGGTTAACGGCGAGGTCCGCCTCCGCCTGTACAAGGGCAGCGTCTACGTCCTTGGCCGTTCCTCTCAGGAGAAGCTCTACTCCGAGGAGGACGCCTCCATGGACTCTCTCACCACCTTCGACCCCTCTGAGACGGTAAGGACCATCTATAAATATGATCGTGAGGCTCTACTAATTGAGTCTTGTTTAGTCTGGTTTCATCACCATCAACGCTATCCGCCTCAAGAAGGTAAGTGATACGAATCCCTAAGTAAAGAGCCACAATCAGTACTGACTCAAGGACAGTATGGTATCCAGATGACCGAGGCTGGCATCAAGTTCTAGATGGAAAAAGCAAGTACGATGGGCTCAGGTTCGGGAATCGGAAAAGTTAGATGAGAAACAAATTCAAAACGAAAACGGTTAAATATGATCAAGATGCCGCCCGAAACTGCGAAGTGAGGTGGGATATTTGACTCGTATCCTTGCGTTGGCCGTGGGCGTGAGGCAGTTATCCTAAAAAAAGCAGCTTCACGCCGATAGCCTGGCCAAGTTAGGCATTAGGGGTTCCTCACTTTGTTTCTGGGAGACTTTGGCCGGTACGGATTCCGCAGGTTGCGACTGGCGGCAGAGATTTGTTTTCAGGATCAGAGGCGGTCATCAACGAGCATGCAACTGCACAGCCATATTTTTCTTTCCCATTAGGCGGTATAACTGAGGTTTCGTCTTTTACATAATACCAAAACGTATCAAGAACTTGAGAAAATAACCTGTCCCAAATGGTGGTGAATGCCGGGCTGTAATGTTACCCGCGGCTAAACCAATGTCAGTATCGCATCTTAGAGCGTGACGGGCCATTTTCCTGGCGCCAAACCGCCGAGCCTCGACGACAAAAGCGGGGTTGCCCCGTTCGGAGGGCGCCAGGCGACAGCACCCTTCCCCGATGCCGGCATCCCGTAGCAGGCCCATCGCTATTCCGCCGCGCTTCATACCACGTCTCATTTAAGTATTAATTTTTCCCAGCAACGGGACTCAGTCACTAAGCCAACAGTCAATACCAGCAATCTCTCACTTCCACCTCCATCCCGTGTATCTACTGTTAAACGTCTCACACTCGACACAAAATCTCACATACATAGCCCGGTATGGCCGACCTCTCCACCTGCCCGCCCCTGACCCGGGCGTCGGTCGTTGAAGCCCACAAACTCGTCAAGCCGCACGTTCACTACACCCCTGTTCTCACCAACAAGACCCTCACGGCGCTGGCCTCGACGCCCCGGAACGTGGAGGACCTCAAGGGCACCAAGTGGGAAGGGCGCACGCCGGCGAAGCCCGTGCTCCGGTTATGGTTCAAGTGTGAGAACCTGCAGCGCATCGGCGCGTTCAAGGTTCGCGGCGCATTTCATGCAGTCGAGAGGCTGAAGCAGGAACCGGGCTGGCTTGAGAATGGTGGCAAGGAAAAGGGCGTTGTCACGCACAGCTCAGGTATGACAGCCTGTTCCCATGATAATTGAGAAAACAATGTCAGGAGACATAATGACGGTGAACGCTGACACAAATCCTAGGAAACCATGCCCAAGCCCTCGCACTTGCGGCCAAGGAAAGCGGTATACCGGCCCACATTGTTATGCCGAATATCTCCCCACCCAACAAGATCGCTGCAACGCGTGGGTACGGCGCCAATGTCGTCTTCAGCGGCAGCACCTCGGTTGAGCGTGAGGCCGTTGCCGACAGTGTCATCGCCGAGACGGGCGCTCGGCTCGTCCCGCCCTACGATCACCCGGACATCATGCTTGGCCAGGGCACCATGGGCCTCGAGCTGCAGGAGCAGGTGCGCGATCTCATGGCTGCGGGGCATTCCGCCGCAAACCCGACGTTCAACTCGACGGGTCTGCCTTTGTCCGACAGCAAGTCAGGAATCAAGGGGTTGAATGCCATCATGACGCCGTGCGGAGGCGGGGGTATGCTCTCCGGCGTCGCGCTCAGCTGCGAGGGCACGGGGATCAGGGTGTTCGGCGCGGAACCCGAGTTCGAGGGCGCCGATGACTGTAAGCGCGGCTTTGAGGCCGGGAAGCGGGTTGAGAGCGTGAAGACCCTGACCATCGCTGACGGCCTGCGGACGCCGGTGGGAAAGCACCCATGGAGCGTCATCTACGAGCGCCGGCTGGTGGAGAACATGTTTAGTGTGTCCGAGGAGGAGATCAAGGCGGCGACGAAGTTGGTGTTTGAGCGCTTCAAGCTGGTCGTCGAGCCAAGCGGCGCCGTGCCCTTGGCTGTGGCGCTGTTCAACGAGGACTTCAGGGCCATGGTGGAGAGGGAGGCAGGCGAGGAGGGGTGGGACCTAGGGTTGGTATTTAGTGGTGGGAATGTTGCGATTGAGGGGCTGCTGAAGATATTTGCGGCATGATCATTATTTGTGCGCAGAAGGAACTATAGAGGCACGAATATTAGAGGGGCCTAAGAGCATGTCATTCCTGAGGGACTGAGAAATAGACGTCTTCGGTAATGCATATAAGCCTAGAACTGGGTTACCCACGGCGCAGTAGAAATCATTGTGTTGATAGGTGAATGAGCTATGGCCCATGCAATCTCTATATCTCCTTTTAAGCCGGAATTCATTCAACGTTGTAGATTACTTAGTCCCCCACTCTCATCAGCTCCAATTCGTTACCACATCACTAGATCAGAAACAAAGTTTCTTCTGTTGGGGTGATTTGATGCAACGGCATCGTATCTTTGCTTATTGACCCGGTGGGAGCTGTATCATTCAGTCCGGAGCGACCTAGGCCTCCATGGAGGCACCCTGCCCTCGAGGTTTAGCTTGCGTCTCCTTACAATCAACTCCAAAGACATTGCGATGTGTGCAAGCTGCCTTCCGCCCTCAAACTTGTGATTGTTCCAGCGGACATGGCAGTTCGCGCAGTCACCATCCCGGCGAATGCGGACGTCGCGGCCCCGCTTGTCCGCGGAGATGCTAGATCGGTATCCACTTCTATCCGAGGTTTCACTGACGGGAACAAGAGGGGCGCAACCTCGACAACAGCCTCTATGCCCTCGTGGGCCGGGTACCGGCGATCTTCCCGTGTGACGCACGCACGTCAGGACTGCCGCAGTGACCAGGTCTTTGTTGGCTTACCGAGTCTCGCCCGGCTTACCCACACTCTCACTCACGCAATCTGATTCACATTCCCCAGACTATTAAACACCCTCCCCTCCGATCTGTGAGTCTCGAACAGCATTGTCTCACAACCTCAAAAGACTCGCAGCCATTGAAAAACAAGCAACGAGCAGACAAAAGCAAAAATGTCGCTCTCAAGGCTAGCCTCCTGGTTTCCCCACGTCAAGGCGCCCGTCATCATCAATGCGCCGATGCTCGGCTCAGCCGGCGCCGCCATGGCAACTGAGGTCCATAAGGCCGGTGGCTTCGGTAAGGACTCCATCTTCATACTCCCTTGACTCGTCCTAAGCCCGTTGTGTATCGTCACCCGACCAAACTGACAAATTCTCAGGTTTCATCGCTGCGGGCTTCGACTTCTCCGAGTCTTCCACCCAGTTAAAGGACCTAGACAAGGCCCTCACGCAAGCCCGCACCCTCCTCTCCTCCCCCGCCGCCGACGGCACCAACCCCCTCCCGCTCGGCGTGGGCCTCATCACATCCCACGAGACGGCACCCCACTTCACCGCCAACGTTCTCCCAATTCTCGTCCGCCACCGCGTCGCAGCAGCCTGGCTCTTCGCCCCGCATCCGGAGACCAAGCCCCACAGCATCATCATTGCCGCGCTCCGCAAGGAGGGGACTAAGGTCTTTGTCCAAGTAGGCAATGTTGCCGCTGCGCGAGAGGCGGCCGCTGATGGTGCAGACGTGATCGTCGCGCAGGGCGTCGACGCGGGAGGACACCAGTTCTCGCGCGGATGCGGCGTCGTGGCGCTCGTGCCGGAGATCAAGGCTATGCTAGCAGCCGAGTTCCCCGAACGGGAGATTGTAGTTGTGGCGGCTGGCGGGATTGTTGAGGGGAGCGGTGTAGCCGCCGCGTTGGCGCTGGGTGCAGAGGGTGTGGTCATGGGCACGCGATTCGTTGCTACGAATGAGGCCATGAGTGCACAACTGCACAAGGAGATTATTGTGCAGACGCGGGACGGCGGTGTGAGCACTTGGAAGTCGGATTTCCATGATAAGCTTGTGGATAACAAGCTTTGGAAGGACGGGTACGATGGCCGGGCCATCGTGGGCGATATCCATCGCGAGTATCACGCGCTCGGTGGTAAGACAGCAACGGTGGAGGAGAGCCGGGAGAGGTTGCGTACAGGATGGAGTGAGGACGAAGGGAAGAAAATGATTGGAAAGTGGGCGGGTGCCGGAGTGGGACTTGTCAGAGAAATCAAGCCGGCTGGAGAAGTGGTCGTTGAGGTGAGAGAGGCTGCGAGTAAGAGAATCCAGGAGTTGGCTGGTTTGATTTAACGACGGCTGTGGGGATTGCCACAAGTGTATATATAACTATATATATGCCAACATACTCGAGACACTGTATCGGATAGTCCTTTTTGGCGCTGATCCTGATCTCATAAGAGGCATGTTGTATGAACACAATATAGCATCAACGGGTATCTTCAGAGGTCTCAGTTAGGGTTTAATAATCTAATGCCCCTTTTCAGTCTTGGTCAACTTAGCCGCGCTTTCAAAATATCCCTCCGTCCCACCATGTTTGGCCAACACCCCGTCAATGGCCACCTCTTCGACATCCCGCGTTCGCTTGCGCCCTAACATGGCGGTGTTGCGTGTACTCGGGATGCGTAACATCTCCGTCTCGACAACCCAACCACAGTCCTCGGCGATTTGCGCGGCCCAGTCGACCAGCGAGGCGTACGTCGACTGCGACTTGGTCTTGTCACGCGGAGGAGGCGGGCGGTACTTTTGGCCGCCCAACGCGTGGCTGCAGCAAGGGATCATGATGAAGGGACTCTCAGAGAGTGTCGCAAGGATCGGTGTCCACGGCGTCAGCTCGTCCGCGTGGTTTGAGACGATGAAAGTGCCCTTGGGGAAAGTTCCGTTGTGGATCTTTGTCAAGTCCAGAACAGGCTCCTCGCCGTCAGCGTAGGATGGCCTGGAAACGATATCTGGGAGAAGAACCAAGGCCTGGAGGGAGTCTCGTCCATCCTGGACAGAGTTGTACTTTGCCCATGACTTTCTCGCTCTGGCATCGAAACCCCATCCAGCATAGCCTTCTTTTATCAGAAGACATACCAACAGACCGTTGCCGCAGCCAATGTCCACGAACCCAGGGAACGGCTGGTCCCTATACATCTCTGCCCAGAGCTCGATCAGAAAAGCAGCAATGCCTAAATCCTCAAAAACATGTTTTGAAGGGTCAGTCGTCTCAGCCCAATTCTCCACCAAGTCCTTGGCATACTTGAGTTTGAGCTCCGTGTAGCGGTTCTGGAACCGCGCCTGTGGGATGACAACGTCGTGGTGCACTCGCTTGGTGTACCCTTGAACCCGCCCCTGGCCGTGCTTCCAGAGCGCCTGCAGCAACATGCGGGCGGTCCGCACCAGTTTGTCTAGGGCGAAGTCGGCCTCGTCGTAAAACAGGTAGTGAATAGAGACCGTTCCCACGGCGCACGCAGCGTCCCACTCGTGAAGATGCGCGACACCCCGGACCTTGGGGTGATAGAAGGGAAGGTCGTCGGGAGAGGACACGTGGGGAAGGTAGACAACCAGGGACCTGGTCTTAGTAGCATCTGGGGTACAGGAAGCGAAGACGCATGTCTGCTCCAGGGGGTCGTCCCGGCGAGTGTTGCGCGGGATCAATCTACGCACAAGAACGCGGTTGTTGTGAAAATCCCTGAAGGTAACAGGGACGGGCTGCTGCACAGCTTGTGCGGCGTCCTCGTCCGGGGAGTCAGATGTGGGAGGAGGGGCAGGTGTCCAGGCAGGGTCCGAATCGTGGAGGATGTCCGCGCGGAAGAGCCATGACGAGTTGATATTGGGGTTCTTGACCAGATTCATCATGACATCCTCAAAAATGTCTGGTCCAAAGGCGCATTCCTGCTGCCACAAGGGATGCCAAATCTCGCCCGAAACATCGTGCACAAGGGGTTCCGTTGATTGCCCAAGCGCAGTTGGGTTGTAGGCCATGACGAGGCGGAGAGTGGTATCTGTTTCCCAGGTTGCGGACTGAAGAAAAGGAATATAATGAGACTCAAGTGTATGATGGGAGGAGCGAGATGTGACTCGGAGCAGATATCGCATGAATTGTAAGAAATGCGCTAGTCAGATCTCGGCTAGCCCCGCAGGGTCGGGCTAGGACCCATGTGACGCTATGAGTTGGCCAAAATATTGTTTACTTTGCGAGGTGGGGTGACATGGCAACGGGCGCCAAAATACACAACTGCAGCGGGCTCCATACGGAAAACTTGCCCTTGTAGACCACGCAGAAAAGGGTGCTGGTCCGTCCTGCATAAGCTCCGACCGAAGCCTGGCACTGTCACTCCAACGCGGTAGCTCCTGTTTTCATTGATGACACATTCTGCAGATATTTGGATCTTCAGTCACAAGCTTTCGAGCAATCATTCAACCACACCACCTGCCTACGCATGCGTTGACCCAGAGAGAATCCCCTACAAACACCTCCCGCAGTGGTCGTCTCGCCGCGACAGACACGTCCACCACAATGGCGGACAACGACAACCTGCGTACGGCGTCGCTGTACATCAACAACCAATTGCTCTCGCGAGGACTCCTCCGCGATGGCCAGACACTTAACTTTGCCGACCCGGAAGACAACCCGGGCGGCACGGAGGCTACTATGGGCAAGATCATGAGCATCGTCAATGACTTGATCTTGCGCAGAGACGTGCGTGTGCCCTTATCCCCTTGAACCTTTTTGCCTTGAAGTCACGAATCCCCGTACTGAGACGATGTTATCTTCCTCTCCTGAAGCGCGATGCCGAGCACCGCGAAAACCTCTCCACTACGCTACGCAACGTGCGCGCCGAAAACCTACGGTACACAAACGACATCTCGCGCCTCTCGGAGAAGCACACCGAGGCCCAGCGGAAACTCGACATCAGCGAGGCCACCGAGAACACACTGCGCACCCAGCTCAAGTCGGCTGACGCCGCCGTCCGCGGACTCAAGGATGAGGTGGCCCGCGCCAAGACACTCGTTGCCCAGACGCGCGCCTCCTGCGCGACGGAGGTCCGGCGCCGCGACCGTCAGATCGATGGGCTGAAAAAGCAACTCGGTGACGCCGGCCGTCCCCGCGGCGCGGCAAAGAGCTCTGCGGTCACCGTTATCAACGTCGTCGCTGGCGAGGGCGAGGAGAAGGTGTCGCCCCGGCGCGTGGGCAAGGCTGGCGCGAGCACTGACGATTCCAATTACGACCTTCGCGGCGAGACGAACGAGTTCCTGACGGATCTTGCGAGGAACCTGAGCGAAGAGAACGAAACGCTTCTGGCCCTGGTAAGACGGACGACGAAACGCCTGCGCGAGATGAGCGGCTGCGATGTCCGGACAAGTCAGGGTGATGGACATGCCGTCGCGCTGCCCACTGCCGAGGACATGGCTGCCGAGCTGGACGCCATCCTTGAACATCTGCGCTCCATCCTGACGAACCCCTCGTTCGCCCCTATCGAGGAGGTCGAGGTCCGTGAGGAGGAGATTGCTCGCCTGCGTGCTGGCTGGGTCAAGATGGAGAACCGCTGGCAGGAGGCCGTCCATCTCATCGATGGCTGGCGCCGGCGCATGGTTACTGACGGCAAGTCGGTCAACATGGAGGAGCTCAAGATGGGTCTTCGTCTGAGTCCCGTGCGCGTTCGTGACGTTGAGGAGACGCAGCAGGGCGGAATGGACATCCAAGAGCTGTCTTGCGTCCAAGAAGAATGCACTGCGGACCTCGAAGAAGAAGAAGATGAGGCTATGCCCGACTCGCCTTGCCCTGCGCCGCACAGAGTCGAGTCTCTGCATCTTGTCCCTGCTCCTGACCAACATTACGCGGCTCCTGACGAAGAAGAATACAATGACGAGGACCAGCAGAGTGATGATGCATCGAGCATTTTCGAGGACTTCGACGTCGAAGACCTCGACGTCGAGGAACCCAATGTTCAGATCCTTCAACAGTCTGCTGCGTTCCTGAGCTCTCCTCCTCTACCGCCTCCCCCTCAGCTGAGTCCGCTCCGCGAAATGGCATCTGCCGGCAACCGCGATGCACGGCCGAGACGCGAGAAGCAGGGAGACTACCGCCCGATGGCGGAGGAGAGGCATCGTACCATCCGCGCAGTTGAGGTCGCCCCCAAGCCACCACCACATCTCGTCCAGCTCCCAAGGTCCCCACAGAAGCCTTCGTACCCGGTTGATGACTGCTCCCGTACCACTTCGGCAGCCTCGATTGAGTCCAACTCAACCCACAACGGGGCGCCCCTCATCACACCATCTGGGACCCCTCCTCCTCCTGAAGTGAACCAAACACCTACAGCTCGCAAGCTCCCGAAGCCGCCACGCCTAGTGGCAGCAGCTCCTGCGGCACCGTCACCAGCTGTATCTGCACCAAGGGAGATTCCATCTCCAGCCAAGACTACTCGTACAGTCTCCCAGGAAAGCCAGGAGAGTCAAACCAGCCAGGAGAGCTGCGATGTCCCGCCTTCTGCTCCTGCCATGCAACCCAATGGCAGCAAAGCCGCCTCGCCACACCGCACTCCTCTACGTCGCGTTCCCTCCCGTCTCCCTCTTCCTCGCCCGTCAGACCCGCCACCACAGCAGAGCCCCCTGACGATGGCCACTATTGCGGCTAAGCTCGCCGCCTCGGAACGCGAAGCCGATGCTGCACGTGTCCGCGCCAAGCTCAAGGCCGCTCGTGGAGGTGCCGTTGGCAAGCCCATACCCGCACCCCAGCAGCAGCAGCAGCCTATGCCCGCTCCCCCTCCGCCAGAGACCATTGTGGCCGTACCATCCGAGCCGCAGCAGCCAAACGGCTCACCCGCAAGGGCAACATCAGACCAAGACCTCGACCCCATCAAGCGCGATCTTCCGCAAGACGAGGAGCAGGAGCAACCACAACCCCATCTTACAAAGCGCAAGCGCGACAGACGCGTGAGCAAAGTCGCATCGCGGAGGCGGAGCACGCTCAGCCCGTGGGAGATGGAGAGTCTCATCTCGGGCAACGTAGCTGTCCCCCCCTCGCCATCTCGGTGATGAGCCACCGTACACACTTTCCTTTCGAGTAGCAGGGTCTCTGATGCCCATTTCTCACCTCACTATCACTATAATACAACCACACACGGTCTTTCTTTGGGAGGAAACGAATCTGTCTTCGGGAAAGGATATCCAACCGGCGTTTAGAGAAAAAGGATAGGGCGACTGCGCTAGGATAAGCGTTGCGCGAGTAGATGGCGGGCGCAGGAACGGGGAGTACGATGGATCGGGGAGAGGGAAGTGAGAGAACACACTCGTTTCACGATCATGGGGTTTGACCCGGTCGTTGCCAGCTGCGAATTTTCGCCCGCCACAGTATCACGATAGCGATAGCCCGTATGCGTGCCGTGTTTTTTGTTAGTAACCAACAGCTTGAATAACCACCTAATCCACTTGTTCTATTTATTTGTTCGACTGGATCACGAATCTCTTGGTTGTCTCTGTGAGTGCTGACACGTTTGACTCGTTCATGTTCTAGCAAAGGGTTATGTTTCAAGCCCCTTTGCAGTAAAAAAGTGTTCAGTCCTGTTGCGCCTAATGCTACGAGACCAAAGCCCGAACCTCCCGCAACGTCCCATGCCGCCCGAAAAAGAGGGGGTATCCACGACGAGCCACGACTCCCGACCATCGTTCAGTTGTCCTTGAGCGCCAGCATATCCGACATCATGGCCTCGACCGGCTCAACAGGACCCAACGGCTCCAACGGCACAGGGAACAGGGCGTCCCAGCCCCCGTACACGAGCTCGACGCCATGCGCCTCGCAGAACCCCCTCAGCTGGTCCATCAGGACGCCCGTCAGGGCGCGCTGGTACACCCTCTTGAGCCTCCCCAGCCTGGCGACGCGCTCGATGACGGCGCCGATGCGGCGCGGCTCGCACAGCTCGGAGTGCAGCTCCAGGACCTCGAGGTTGGGGAACGCCTCGAGGAAGTCAAACAGCAGGTCGATGGGGTCGACGCCGCGGTGCGCCGGGTCCCGCGTCAGCGCCGCGTGGGACTCGAAGTCGAAGTTGAAGAAGCCAAAGGTGCGCACCGACGCGGCGCCGCGCAGCCAGTCGAGCGCGCCGGGGAAGAACTGGCCCGGGTCCTGGCGCCAGCAGAGGCCCAGCTCGCGCAGCCGGCCGGAGCGGATCGCGGGCTCGAGGAGCACGGTGGCCAGGTCGACGCTCAGAGGCAGACGGGGCATCCACAGCCTCTCGAGGTTGGGGTACGTGACGAGGGGCGCCGAGGAGTCGGAGCCCTCGGCGGCCGGGTAGCCCGAGTAGTCGAGGGGGAGCTGCTGCGGGAGCCAGTCGCCGTGGTTGCCCTGGTGGGCGGCGCGGGCGTCGAGGACGCGGAAGGAGGCCGGGTGGAGGGGCGGGAAGTGGCGCTTGTCGCCCATGGAGAGGGCGCCGCAGGCCTTGCCGAGCTTGATCACCTGCAGGCGCGTCCAAAGGGACCAGCAATCGTCGGGCGGGGAGAGGGAATCGACGCCGGTGAAGACGCCAAAGTTGTCCATGTAGAGTTGTTCTAGGTTCGGCGTTGCCCGTGCGAGGGCGAACTGGGTGGGAGCGTTAGCTCGGTTCTTACGTAGGGGATCAGGAGCTTAGGTGAAGTCACGCGGAGGTAGACTTACGGAGTCAATCCGCCGTTCGGGGGTTAGCTGGTTCAACGGGGAGTTGAGAGGACCGGTCAACTGAAGGACCTTGAGACGGGGCAGCTCGGGCCAGTCCAGGTCCTGCAGATACATGCTGAAGAGCAGAATCTCCTCAAGGTTTTCCCGCGCTCGCTCAACAAACTGCCTCACGAAAGGCTGCGGGCCGCCGCGGCCGCGGTATTCCGGCCTGCTGATCTCGTGGAAGCTGAACCGCAACTCCTTGACGCCTTGGAAGAAGAGCGGCTTCGGCGGCAGTTTGTAGCCCCAGTCGCCCTCGAGGTTGCGCTTGATGTAGCCGATCTCGAGGCGGCTCGTCATCTGGGGGTTCGTCGTCTGGATGAGCGATAGCCACTTGCTCTCGTTGAGCTGGAAAGTGTGCGCGTTGGGGATGACGAGGCTGCGGGCGCCGCCGCCGGTGCGCTTCCGCAGCGTCTTGAGGAACGACACCTTGGGCACTTTGGGGGGTTCAGGGTCGGGAAGTGGACTTCGCGCCAGATGTAGGGGTGGGTGTCGAGGAACTGGTCCCATCGTTTGCAGACGCCCGACACTCGGCTACGGTGATATCAGAAAGGGGCCATAGAAGCAAAGCTTCTCCTGAGATCGGGGTGATGAGAGGCAACGTACCATAACTCGTGAAACTCAAAATATGAAAAGATCTTCTCGATCAACTCGGTTGGCAGGTCGAGGGGGTCCCTCCGGCAAAAGTGTTTATGCAACGGTTCCCGGATCTTACGAAGTTGCTGTAGAAGTAGGTCAGCAGAAGCGCAACAAGGAGCTCGCCCGCGTCGCATACCTCGTACTTGGCCGTCCCGATAAGGCCCTCTTTCTGTCCGACCTCGAGGCCAGCACACCACGCGGCCCAGGCCATCTCGGGCTTCTTCTCGAGCCTGTATATCTTGCCCAGCCTCATGTACCCCTGAATCTCGTCAGCCCATGCCGCCAGAACACCAAGTCCCCAGAATGGGACGGCAGGACACGGTACCTACCTCCAGCCTCCGCGGCGCAATTTCCAACAACCACTCGGCGTCCCTCCTCGCCTTGTCCAAGTTCCCCATCTTCTCAAAGCACGCGGCGCGGTAGTCGAGCGCCTGGACGTGGCTCTCGCGGTGACACCGGCCCCACGTCTTCTCGGCGCCGCACTTGCATTCCTTGGTCGCCTCCGCGTAGACGCTACCCCGCTCGCGGCGGTGCCGAGCCGCGGCCTCGCCGAAATCACGGCATGTGCATCGCTCCCGCCGGCGGCGCTGTTGGTGGTCGGCGCCTGTACCCCCGGACCCGGACCCGGACCCTTGAGAACTCCCAGCACCGCCGCCGCGGGGATTCGAGCAGGGACAGTTTCCGGCGACGAGGGTGAAGTGCTCGAGGGCGACGCGGAAGCGCTGGTCGGCGTAGGCTGCGCGGCCCTTCTCGATCGACGCCTCCGAAGAGCGGACGCGGGGAAGCTGCCCGGAAGGCGCCATGTCCTCTCGGTGACGCCGGTATCAAAAAGTGAGGTCTGAACGAACAAGCCCAGCGAGACAGGCAGTCGGCTCTGGGCCGATAAGAAATGGAGGGTTCCGCAACGGGCTGAGAGATGCAGAGGGTCTTGGTGAGATGGACGGTCTTAACTTGTGTTATTGAAAGGTCACGTAGATGGTGCTATCTAGTACTCACTTGGTTCACCAAGTCAATGAAGAAGCTATTGCTTGTCTGATGAAACGATTAGAGGGGGAGGGGGGGGAATGCCAACTAATGCGGGGAAGCAGGGAGAGTTTGCATCTCGTCTATTCTGTGCTAGTCTTCGCGCTGGACGACAAAGTGTCGCAAAGAAACCCGGTGGGTGAGTAAGGCTAGGGGCCGACTGACGATGGGCTGGCGCCGCGATGGACGTTCAGATCTCCGAGGTTCGCAGTGGGAATTGCGGGACGAGGGGCGCGACTGTGACGCGACGCGAACCGGGCGTCCTCCGTTAATGGGGACCCACTGCGATCCGGTGGCAGGGCGAGCCGCCGACAGTTGCCACCGGAGTGGTCCCCCAAGGCACCTTTGCTAATGGGCAATTTCAGCGTCCCTCTCCCACTGGAATGGGTGAAACGTTTGGCCTGTCGCGGGTCGTGCAGAAGAACTCTCTTCCATCCCAACTTCGGTTTTGCCATTGCCGTCTTCCCAGCCACGCGTCGAACAATGAGCCAAACTCACTACAACGTCCCCCCATGCTCTCTGCGTCTTACGCATCGTCGTCATACATCCATCGCCATGCGGCCTGCCTTACAGAATCTCCATCAGCAACGTTAACGTTGCAGTACCCCCCGTCCTACAGTGAATCCGCAGCTCCCGGGTCAACCAACACCCATCGTTCCAGGCCCAAGCCCCAAGGCCCCCCGAACTGCCCCCCAACGATCCTACCGAATCCTACCGCCACCGTTCCCGTGCGAAGCGGCAGCTCCTTACCGAGTCGTCCGGTCCGCATCCGCCACCGCCTGTGGCGCACGTGTCAGACCGTTCGTGATCCCTCGCCCGCATAGCTTGTGCTAGTCTTACACCCTACGATACACTTCGTACACACATCCTGAAGCAGGTGATGAGGAGACGGCGGCATAGGGCAACTGAGCCTCAATCTCATTTGGCCACGCCCCCAACCCGCCTCCCCACGCAGCCACAGCTTATTCACGACTCAAAGTCCCAAAGAAACTCTATGTTCAGTCAATCACGTTGTTTCCCTTTTGTTTCTGTACCGCTACATCACCCGGCAGGGTCGGGGTGTTTCCTTAGAACCAGCCCGGCCGGTGTAACGTCGTCGCTCAATGGCAGTCATGATCCCCAAGCAACACTGCTTGCTTGCTCCCTGTCTACGCTCCCGGACCCCATTCCAGGCAACGACCGACAGGGACAGCTACGCAGTATCTCATCCCGTGTTTCCGTTTGGAGGCAAAATATTCAGGAACCAGGGTCGGCAGTGACTAGGGGACATTGATCACCACGATCAATGGGACTTGTGATGTGATGTGTGTGTATCAGCCATGGTGCTGTAAGCTGTCCAATCCAGGGTCCCCCCCCCATATAAGCGCGGAAGCATTAAGGGTGCGCGCCTCGTCTCCAGGTCACCGATTTAGAATACGCGATGCATCCAGCCTACTGCTGCTGCTGCTGCTGCTGCTGCTTCAAAAGTACCACTTCTACACATACCATTGTCTAATTGCGTATGATGTGACGGGTAGACAGGATTCAAGACGGGCAAAAGCGCGATGGTCCAAGGCCGCGCACCAGGACCTTGCATACACACATGCATACATACGGCGTGACATGCCGCGCGCGATCCTTCCGAGGCCCGAGAACTTGCGCATCACAGCCAGCCAGCCAGCCCGGCCGGGGCCCGGAAAGCCGCGGA